CTTAAAACTGTGCTTTATACTACAGTATTTATTTATCAACAGTTGTTCAAATCGCGGTAATCGAATACGGTTATAATGATAATTAAAATATAAAATGGTAATACTAACCGTGGGGAATTTTATCATGATTTATCGTCAAACCAGTAATCGTTACATCCCTAGTCTTTAATAGTTAAAATTGTTTTTCTTGATTTTCGTGAAACAACTTGAACAATGAACATAATTTATACTTCTGGGTGTTGAATGCTTGAATCTGATTGGTTGAAAAATGTTCTAAGGTGTGCAGTTACTTTCAGGGAAACGAACAGCTAAAGTAGTTCCAGGCAAATCTTGACCGCATTACATGTCCATATTACTTCTCCAAGTTATTTCAAAGGTCTTTACAGCGTACAACAGCAAAAGAACCAAAACCTGCAATGTCACAGACCAATAAAAATAGTAAATAAGATAAAAAATGGTAAATGACCAATCATTTCCATGTATGGATAGCACATTTCTCCTACTCTCTCTCCCATACAAATGCACACACATACAGTACAGATATATACTCACAAAGAAACACGTTGTCAGTGCTGCTGTGACATTTTTAATCAATAAAATAGTTCAGCAACTAAAAAGCTACATGACATTCTCTCTAGTGAGGTAATAACAGAGCTTTTCTTGAAGCAGATAAACTTACAGTTTCAGTTTTAGTAGAGATGCTATTGCCGAACACTATTGAGAGATGCACAAACTCACTTAATCCCTCTCTCTATAATAACTGCATTAAAAACCTAACAAATGTCTTGAAATACAACATCTTAACAATGTCTTGAGCAGTGCTAACCATACTATAGGTGGAATAATTGACTCCCGTCCATTGAATTATTGTAAAATAATGCACCTTATTCCTTACATATTTCTTGTGCTGTGTTTATCATGACATATTGCATTTAACAGACCAAAAATGATTAATTCCATAAAAAATTCTTGGTCTATTACAACAGCCTTCCCTGTATAAAAAGTACTTTGTACTTTTGAATATAACAATCAAGTGGTAGCACATATTTATAATAACTAAAGAAAAAAACAATACAATAACAGTGTCTTCTCATTGTTACAGATATGAGGATTGTGCTGTTGGGCAACACTGGATCAGGAAAAAGTGCATCAGGAAACACCATCCTGAATGAAGACCTTTTTGATGTGAAACACTCTCCAAGATCAGTTACAGCGAACTGTAACAAACAAGAAGCAAATGTGGATGGATGCACCATATCAGTTATTGACTGTCCAGGTCTGTTTGACACTCGAGATAAAGAAATACTGCAGACTGTAACAGGGCAGTGCATGAGCCTGTCTTATCCTGGGCCTCATGCATTTCTGCTGGTGATGAAACTGGGTGTGAAATTTACAGAGGAGGAGAAGAATGTTATGAAATGGATTCAGCAGAACTTTGGAGAAGATGCCATGAACTACACCATCATTCTGTTCACTCATGCTGATGTGCTGAAGGGCAAGCCTGTAGAGACATATATCAGTAAAAGCAATGAGCTAAAGCAATTGATCAAGACCTGTTGGGGCAGATATCACTCATTTAACAATGAGAACATAAATAATCGAGATCAGGTCACAGAACTGCTGCAAATGATACACAAAATGGTCCTTTTTAATGGAGGGAAGCACTATGTAAAAATAAATAATGTATAAATGTATAAATAAACCCAGGAAAAGCTAAAAGCTCAAAGACACTGAAAATGTATAATGACACTTTATGACAGTACAGTAGAAATAAACAAATGTAGTTTTAGTTTAGATTAGATTAACAGGCAGAATTAGGGTAAATTTTGTGATTTGCTGCCTAAACTACATCATATAGCACAAAATATACAGCAATATTCACTTTAATGTGTAAAAAAATGCTTTCATATACTACAGATATTTTAGTAACTTTGCTGTCTTTTATTTTTCTTCTTACATTCAAACATGTCAGCTGTTTAAAATACATTCAAAAGTGAATTACCACTATTAACAAACATGAGACTTTATGTTTTCTATACATTCAATTATATGGTGTACAAAACTGAAAAGCTTAAGCAGAACAGAACAGTAAATATATTACATTAATTTGAAAGGTTTTGCAGAGATGTTTGATTGCCAGCATCTCGTAAGATCGGATCCAGGTGTACCGAGTGATTCTTGTCAGGTATCAATAGAGAGGTTAGTGTTACATAGGGTTACCGTCAGTTCAATTATTTTTTTCAATCATGAAAAAAGATGATCTATACTAGTTTGAGACACAAGTTTATTATCAGAAACTGAGTTAGTAAACAAAAAGGTAACACTTTTATTTAGTGGTCCATTACTAACAAATAACTATGTAGGACAAATGAGTAGTAATACATTAGTATTAACTAATATGGGAACAAGGTTAATTATTCCAACACAGCATTAAGTAGCAGAAAATTTAGGATGAAGGTGGTTCCTTATTAGGCCATCAATAATTACTGGATGAGAACAGCCTCATTAACAACTACTTACTAACTGTGACCAATTAAAAAAAAAAAAAATTACTAACCACAACATTAACATGTATCTGAAATGTGAGCAGGTTATTTTTTTTTTTTTTAATAAGGTCATAAACTGCATCTTTCAGCTTAGCTCTGAAATCCGTTCTTTGTGGAAATCAATTTATGAATGTTACAAATCAATTTGCTACAGTGGTTGTGATTGTTACTACTACTCTTATTTAGGAATCGATGGTATGTGCTTGTAACCTGTGTCCTCTTTGGAGTGTCCCTTCTATTTTTGTTTCAAATTTATAGCAGTAATAATAGTAATAATAATAATAATACATTTAAATTGCACTATTCACTAATTGTTATGGGATTAGTTTACTACTAGACCTATTCTGTATGTGCATTCCATTTTCTCTATGTGTTGTAATTACAATATCATTACAAGTCAGAGTACTTCAGAGAAATGTATGACTGTACTGTATGTACCAGACATAAAATATATTAAATAATGACTTGTGAAAAGCATGTTAACCCTTCATTGATTACCTAAGTGTTACCTACCTTGTCACTGCAGAACTACTAATGATCAAGACCATTATTTTAAAGTGAAAAACATGTTAACTCATCTTTAATTACTCAGGAATTATCTTGTCAATGTGCAGGAATTAATAGTTATTTTTAGGGCTGTCAACAGATAGATTTTAATCACGATTAATCACATCCTTTTGTGTAATTAATCATGAGCAGTGTTGGGAAGGTTACTTTGGAAATGTAATAGGTTACAGATTACAAGTTACACTACTATTACATTTTAAATAGGGTAACTTTTTCAATTACTTTATTAAAGTAATGTAACTGATTACTTTTGATTACTTTTCTAAATTTCTAATGAATGTTTATTTGCAACTGTTAATAATTTTCAAAAATGTACATAAATATGGTTAAATAATGGCATTTGGTTTATCAGCCACATGTGGGCCACATAAGGGCCTTCAGCCCTTTACAGAACTCAGCCATATAAGAATACCATATAAGGTCCATATATCAGCCACATCTGTTTTTATTATTTGGCTCACTCTGGGTTGGGTTATGGCACTGTTTAGGTTCAGTTCTGGCTAAAAATATGTGGACCAGTTTTGGGCCGGCGAACACAAACTAATCTGGGCCACACTTTAGCTGTTGATATGGGCCAGATCCGCGCCAAAGGAAATTTACTGACTGGGTAGTTACTCCCCAACACTGATCATGAGTAATCACAGAACACTTAACTTTGTGATAAATGTGTATTGCATTCCAAGTGTTGCACATTTTGTCCTTACAAAACCCCATACTGGTTCTCTGTATTATGGCCAGTGTTGGGCAGTAACTAGTTACTAGTAACCTGTGTTGGGCACTACCGCGTTACTGTAATTTGATTACTTTTTTAGTAACGGAGTAATTTAACGCGTTATAATTTTCAAAATAGTAATTAGAGTATAGTTACAAGCCGAGGTCTCTATACGTTACTGCTGCGTTACATTGCTGACAGAATGCAGTGTTTTATAATCTAGAGATTGTAAAAAGGATGTAGCTCACGCACTGTCGAGTCAAGTGCCAGTGGATTAGAGAGACCTGCTCCCGCGAGACCCGACGCAACAGAGTGCGGCGCGGGACCAGATAGACACTCATGTGTGCGCGGGATGCGGGAGAATAAAATGATTCACGGGACTCCCGCAAAATAGAAATATCTAAACATAAAATATCTAAAACAAATAAATTGTTATTCATCTATTGCACAAAAGCAACATGAACTAATATAAAATATAAACGATTAACAGGTGCAAGTGTATGCAGAGTTTCTATTTAGGCTATAACACATGTTTGCAGCGTTAAGCAATGCAGTGCTGACATTTGTGTGCTCATGAATCCTCTCATTATAACACGAATTGTAGACATTATGAAAGATTCATTATGCATATATTTATTGTGTTATAACAGAGATTTGTGAGATTGCGATGAACTGAGATGTCTTTTAGAGATTATAAATGCAGCGCTCTTTGCTGGCATTCTGCCAAACCATGCACACAGCAGCCGCTTGCTTTATTTAAACATAACAGTGTTCTGTGAATGCTGATGCTTGATGCTAAATACTAATAAGATTTCAGTAATAACATTACAGTTACCATTCATAAAACAGCTAGTTACTTAGTTACTTTTGATGCCTCAACACCTACCGATTTGAAATCCAACAATCCAATAATTCCTAGATTTATTTTCATAATTTTCTCGACTCGCTCAGGCACATTAAGTCAGCAGTGCATCAGGAAAGCTTGGAATATTCCATATTTCATATGGAATATGGAAAAGCCATTACACTGATTTTGTCAGGAGAAAGGTGATCTAAACACAGATGTATAAATTGTGGAATTATTTTACTCTGGTATAACATGGCTTGCCCACCCACATCCCTCTGATCCAATATAAATTATATTACTATAATTAAAAATCTTAAGAACTTTTGATAAAATGCTTCATGAAATATAATCATATTTGTGTAACAGAGAAATTATTGCTACAATTAGCCTCAAGCTACACATGACAATTAATACAACACTTGTTCTTAAAAGTCACCATCAATCACCATTAAGTGTTTGTAAAAACTTCTGACTGCGATCCAATGTAGATTTTGGTTAAATGATGAGGTAGAAATATATTGTTAGTAACATTTTTCAAGAATTTTATGGAGAAGATACACAATTACAACTTCTGTGGGTCGTGAAGGAAAAGTAATGTAACTAGTAATGTAACTAATTACTGTTGCCAGATAGTAATAAGTAAAGTAATAATATTACTTTTGAAAGGAGTAACTAGTAACAAGTAATAAATTACATTTTTGGAGTAACGAGCCCAACACTGATTATGGCACATGCGCAGTAAGATCTGAATGTTACCTGTATACAAGGAAACAAGCAGTAAAGCTGCACTGTTAAAAAAAATGTCAGTGTAGTTGCTTAAAGCAGCACACGGTCATCTCAGGAAGATATAACATTAAGCATACATTAAGTATTTCAGTTGTTTAACACAGTCAATTTTACATCATTGATATATCCAGCACAGTAAACCAACAAGACTGAAGAGTGATTCTCACAAAACTTACTGCAAGCTTTCTTTCAAGGTAAATTTAGTTTGTCTTTCCAAAAAAAAAAGAACACTTGGAGACTCCAAAAGGACACCAAATAACCAAATGAAGGAGTCATATGATTAATACATTTATGCATACTAAAGCACATATGAAAAAAATTGCAGGAAAAAAAATCTGAATTCTTAGTGTATAGTATGTGTACAGTACAATAGCAAAGAGCTTTTTTTCATTTTAGACATTTTTTTTTCATAGAGATGCCAAAAAAAAATAAAAAATACTACAATACACAGATCTGTAATTACTAAACACAGTAACATATACATGACAAATCAAAATATTATCCTGAATGTGTGTGTGGAAACAACGTGAATGTACTAAAAATCTGTCTGTGCATAAATACAATGTGCAATCAGTGTGTCGAGAACATCAATATAACAGACTCACACCTGATAACTACATCTCCTGGGGCCAGTTGTTCAAAAGTAATCTGATTGGATTTTGGCCATCGGATTGGATCAAATATTGAAAATGGGTTGTTCAAAAGAAAAAAAAAAAGATTCTGAATTCGGATTAGATCACAAAATCCAATCTTCGTTTTGATCTGGATTAAATCCTCAGTTTGTGTTGTTCAAAACATTTTTGTAAGATTGGGATACTTTTGATCCAAATAAACTGGATTATTCTGATCCCAGCAGAAGTCTTTATATTAAGTAATATACTTTATATTAAGTGGCCCTAATACCTGTGTACTTACATAGTAACTAGATGTGTACGTAGTATGTAACCACATGTGTACGTAGTATGTAACCACAGTGTAAGTACACATTGGTACATAGTATCTAGACCTGTAATATTTCTGTAACTACTCTTTGTAATGTAAGCGAGGTTAGCGGCAACCACGCTGGCGATGCTAGCGGGCTATTTGCTAATAGCGGACTCGGGAAATCAAAATAAAACTAGTGATAACAAGGCGCTCTGATTGTTTTTGTTGTAGAATGGTAACTCCTCAAAAACTGTCCACTTAATATAAAGTGTAACATAAGTACACAGGTATTAGGGCCACTTAATATAAAGTGGGACCCAAAAATGTAATAAAACGTTAAAAT